TGGGTATGGATCTTCTGAGTTTGAGTACGAACCGACTAAGTAAGAGACGTCCGTGGGTACGAAACAACTGAATACGGTTGGTACAGTTGATGGTACAGTTGGTGGTGAAGCTGGCGTAGTTCCAATGTAACTCCAGTACTGGTGTAATTAGTACACTTGGTGTAGTTAGTGGCTTTGATGCACATGGTGTTCTTATTATTGTTTTTGTGCAGTCCAGGTAGTAATGAAGTGTGCATTTTTTAAACTGATGCTGTGTAGCCCATGAAGTTCACGTGGCCAGTGTAGTCGATGTAATTAGTTGCAGTTCTGGAGCTTTTTGCGATTAGTGTAATCGGTGCAGATGGTGATGTTAAGTGTAGTTCCCTTAAGACGTGCTGTTGGTGTTATTCGGTTGGTTTATGAAGGAACAGTTCGCGTAGTTCGTGTGAAACTCCGATAGTCGATAGTACCTTTGTGACGATTGCTGGTTTTGTATTTCGACTTACTCAAATATCGGTTAAGTCAAGTGTAACTGCATTTTTTTTAAGTGGTATTCTTTGTGGAGTTCAACGTTTGGTTTAATTTATGTCGTTGATGCAAATGGTATAGTTGAAACAGTTTAGTAGAGTTGCAGTAGCTGGTTCAGTATGCCTAATCGGAGTTGTTGTTGCAATTAGCATAATTAATGTAATTCGTGTTGTCGAGGTTAGTTTGGGTAGCTCGTGTAATTTGCAGAGACGATGAAGTGTGGTAGAGCTGAGGTAATTGTCGTGGTAAGTACATTTAAAGTTCCTGCTGTCTTTGGTATAATTCGCTCATTTACAGTAGTTGTAGTCCGTGCAATTTAGTGTAGTTGCAGTAGTTGGTGTAGTTGGTGTTGTTGGCAAAGTGAATCCAGTGGATTCGGCTAGAGAAGTCTGATGCAGTTCCATCAATTGGTGCAAATTGCACATTTGGTGCTCTTGCTGTTTTTGTGAAGTTCGTGTATAGAGTAGTAGTTTACTGTTTATGCAGTAACTGATTCATTAGGTTTAACTGATTTAATTGATGTATTCTTTACTTTGGAACTTTTGATGATTTTGAAGTAGTTTGTGTATTTAGAATAAGTGGTACAGTTGGTGGCTTTTTTTTTTTTTGCAGTAACTTGCATTTTGACCCGGGGATAAATTCAAGTGAAGGAAAGGTTTTCTTTTGTGAGTTGCAATTTAAGCAATAGCAGAAAAGAGCCTTGAAAACATTTAGGCTTCAACTCGAATTCATGCGTTTCAAATAATAGTTAGGCACTATTAACATTTGGAAACAAAGCAATTTGTTAGGAGGAAGGCAAATTTTAGTGCGCTCTTCGCTTCCGTCATGAATCTGATACCAATGTTTTAGTTTGGTGAGCTACATGTTGACCTGCCGGTGGAATTAACATGTAGGAATGATCTCTACAGCTCAGCAGAAATTTAAGAAATTGCAGAAAAAGTTTGTGTATTTGTGTACTTCAGTGTAGCTGCGGTAGTTTGTCTAACTGGCATAGTGTACTTGGGAGAGTTGCTGCAAATGGTGCTATGGAAGTGGTTTAGCGTATTAACGGAAGATAGCGCAATTTTTTTGATCGATACAATTTGTTGTAGTAGCCTTAGTGTTTGAAGTAGGTTTATTCAGTGTTGAATGAATGAAAACTTTATTTATCCATGGTATTCATCATCACTAAGAAGTGCTATCCCAAGGAGCCATACATGAAAACTATGATAAATAAAATAACACTATAATTTGAAGAAGCTAGCGCATACAAACTTATTATAGACCACGCGTGAACGAAGCCCTTCAGGGACAGGGTCTTTCATACAAAGCAAGTTACCAATCTTTAAAGAAGAGAAAACCAGCTTGATATCCAAGTCATTGCAATAGCGCCTAATACAATGGCGAATCTTTTTCTGGGTGAAAGCAGAAAAATGGCCTATGTAGGGTAGCTTAAAGTAAAACGTAGGTGAAGTGGTGGGAAGGGAACCCCGGGGATGATGATTGCTTTGGGTCCCAGTTATGTAACGGTTTATAACCTTTTCGATTAAGATTCTTTTTTAGAATATTCAAAAGCTCGGTAATATCCTCGTGAAACCCTAAACAGATGCCATTAATCTTGTAGGCCTTAATGAGACCCACTTTGTAAGAATACGAGGTGAGGATGAAATAATTGGTTAATAACCCTGTGAAAGTTTTCTTGGGCTATTTAAATTAAATTAATTAAATTAAATTAAATACATTTATATAGCGCCATCTTCCATTAAGTGTCCATGGCGCTTTACAATACCCTAAAAGCCGTAAAAATTGAAATCTTAAGAATTAAATAGACTATAACTACAAGTAAAAACTAAAAATCAAATGCACGCTTAAAAAGATAAGTCTTAAGATTAGCCTTAAAAACTGCCTCTGATGATGAAAGCCTGATCTGGAGTGATAGTTTATTCCAGAGCCTTGGTGCCGCTACGGAAAAACCCCCTTTCACTATACGTTTTAAGATTCGCTCTAGGCTCATCAAGCAACCTGTTGAAGATCTTAGTGTGCGACGAGAGTCATTATACTTCAATAGGTCTTTAATGTAATTTGGGGCCAGTTCATTTGGCCATCTTATCCATTTAGACAGGTTGGACACTTTTAACAGGGCATATCAAGGGAACCCGTTGAAGAATTTAATGTTCTTGGACCACCACGCACTCTGACCACTTTGACCGCCAAGACTATTTTAACAAGTTGGACTAGTCAATCGAGTAAGAAATTTTTAAGAAGTTGTATTATGTTACTGAGTTAGACCATTACCAAGCGTTAGACCATTTTATCTAATTAGATCATTTTAACAAATAAACTGGTTGGACCATTTTGTCTAGTAAAAAACCATACGAAGTGTTTGGACCACGTCATCTCGTTGCTCCATTTTTAACAAGTGGATCTTTTCGACAAGTTGGACTATTTTATCTAGTTAGACCATTTTAGGCGGTACGCGGTTTTTAGAATAAGTGCATTTTAAGAGTAAGTGCTTATTGAAATTCAGCAACCAACGGTCAGAGTGGAAAATTTTTTTTTCGCTGATATTTTGCCCATAGATAGATATTGGTAAGTAACTAAACGTGATGTAGTTTGTTTTCAAAAACGCTGCTTCAATTTGGAGAAAATCGAAAAAAATCTATTTTTGCTATCGGCGACTTCAAAAGAGCCAAAATTTTAGACGAAATGGGTCGTTCTCAAAATTTCGCCTGCATGCTAAAGGGAAGAAGGAGAGATAAAATATTTTTCGATGCGTCAGTTCATAGAGGGTTTTGCTTCTAGTTTGGTGGTAAATATTCGACTTAGCAGTAATCTGAACAACGAAAAATAATATTTTAGAACTGCTTTATTCTTACCAAAAGAAATTTATATTTTGGCTGAAAGTCGCGATTAAAATTTTAGGCATGTGCTACACCTTGGTTTACCCTGAGACTCAAGCCATAAGGCCTTTAAACATTGTACTAGAACATATGTAAAAACTGGCTTGGGTAATTCAGTCTGCGCTTCACACGAACCCTCCGAAGTTGAACAAAATTTGGTTGAGTTCCCGTCCACACGTATCCGGATAAATTTGAAAACGGATTAATATTTATCCGTGTTCAAATTTATTCGCGTCCACACGTTGCCGTTTGTGAATCGTTTTTGGTGTCCACACGTAAACGTCAAACAATGCCGTGATGAACTGAACAAAATGTGCAAAATTGAACCACTAAATGCTAAGTTTGAAGGGGCCAAAGTAACTTCTGTTGAAACAGTGTTTAAAATACATATCTCTGATTTCCTGAAGTAAAACAGTGACTTTCAACCCATCATTGACAAAATCAAAATCAAAACCAATGGTGATGGTGCCAGAATGACGAGAAATTCAAATTTTATTTTACTTTCATTTTCTTGTGACGTCATCGTTTTCAAATCGTTTTCAAATTTATCTGGATAAGGCACCTACACGGAGACGCTTAGCCAGCGTTTTCAAATTTATCCACTCTGGAGAGCGTTTTCAAATTTATCCGTTTTCGGTGGGTGAAAACGCCGTTTACGAGTGGACGGAGCCCGTAACCGTATGAATATTTATCCGTTTTCAAATTTATCCGGATACGTGTGGACGGGGCCTCAAGTAGCGGTTTGTTGGTGTTTACTGCGGCTTGCCGCTACTGCCGAAAACTTAACTCGCATGAAATTATTAACAGATTTGTGTTTTAAAAAAGTTACCTTACTGTCTTACCCTTTTTTTGGTTGACTTTAAATTTGTCTTGGGCAATTTGCTCCCTGGTTATCCTTGTTTCTTCTTCCCAAAATTATGCTCAACGAACTCGAAGCAGTGAACCCTCTAACTTCACCCGGGAACTTCAGCAGTCGAGTATTTTATCGGAAATATTAGATTCGATCAATCCTTTCTTTTCCATCCAATTTTTACATCTTGTACGCTTTCAAAGTTTAAGCTTTCATAAAGCTCAAAATAATTTGCAGGTAAACGCTCCAGTTGTCAAGGGCACATTTGTCTAAAATTATGTTGTAGCTGTGGAGTTGCGTGACAGAACAAAATTATTCCCACCGGGAGGGTGTAGAGAAACAACGACGTGAAAGGGACCTGTTTCCGTTGTTTTCGATTTCACTTTAAGTGAGCATTTTATAATTCTCTTGCAGCCTTTTCTTCGAATTTCGACTGTCCATCAGGCCATAAATAATTGGTTTTTTTTTGTTTTTTAATACGGTGTTCTAATCTACGACTCTAGACATGTTCGCAATACCATTTTGCTCGAATTAAAAAGGAGAACAAAACTAGGGTCTTACAAAATTAAACTTTTCACAAAATTTAAAAAAAAAAACAATCGAAAACAAGCTCTTGAGTTGAGTTTTCTATGAGACTTTTGCCGTAAAGCGCTGTACTCTTTACTATAATTATGCCGATGTTTATTGGTTGACCTTCATAGGCAAGTCTTTCAAACAGGCAAATGTTTTAATACATCACAGATATCGTTTAAGCAAAGCGCGATTTAAAGTTTTCCCTGACAGGTGCATTTTTTGCCAAAGGTGATCAACCTCTCGATGTAAGGAGCTTTCCTCTTCACTTTGATGTCGGTTGTCGGAATATCAAAGTGCTCGCAGATATTCTGAAGCATCTGAATTGCAAATTTTGACAGCTTTGAATCTGCAATAAGTTCGCAAATGTAGTAACTGTCATAGCAGATGGGATGACTGAGGGAAACTTCTTGAAGGATTTCACTTCTCAGCTCGCTGAAGGCTTCCTCATCTTCTACGTTCTGGTTTTCTTCAATGTCACTCTCCGTCATTTTCACTGAGTGTACGCTTGGAGGCTAGCCTTGAGAAGAAACTTGAAACTTTCTGGCCAGTCAGAAATTCAGAACTTGTAAAAAGGCGGTTTCCATTGCTGTCCCTGGCAGTCATCATGGACCTGGCTACAGACGCTGTATCCGCTTTCTGGCCAGTCGTCTCTCCAATACGGAATTTACTTGTCAAGTAATCTTTTTGCTTTTCTGTAAATCTTGTTCGTCGAACATGACCAGACTTCAGGGCCCATCCCATCGGTAAACACGGATGACTTGTGAGGTTTAGACGCTTTCTAGCTTGTATCTGTGGTATACCACAGAACTGCTCCTGTAGTCTGTCTGCGTAGGCGAGCACTGCTCTGTCAAGAAACGTCTCATTCTCTAAAGCACGTTCGTGTTTTCCAAGATCCAGATGGTGCTGTAAGGAGGAAAACCTTTGATACGTTTTCACACATCCTTCCTCCGGACAGGAAAAAAGAGGAACAGTCGAGGTGTCACCCACAGGCTCCTCTTCGGTATCTGAACATCTCTGAGAATTAGCAGCTGCGCGAGGCTGAGGCCTGGACTTCACTTTAATGAAATGTGCATAAGGCATTCTCTCTCCATCACATTTCACAAGATCTGGAACCTGCAGCACCTGCGGAGTATTAAGCTCTGAAAGTCGTATGCATTTACCAGGTCCTATTCCACACGCCTTCCAAACTCTCAGGCCTCCGTCGTTGTATTCAATATTAGAAATCAAACTCACGCCTGCAATATTCACATTCAAAGAGGGTTTTTGGTTTTGCGATGAGCTGCATAATGTAACATCGACTCCAGGAACACCCCCTGATGACTGGATAGCGTCTCCCATTTCCCTGGAAGTCTCGATGTTAGACTCTTGGTTAAGGTAAACTCTCATGTGCGATTTAAGTGACGCTGCCTTTCTGTCACTAGGCCCTTTACCACCCTGTGGGTCCGAGAAGTCCAGGCGTTTCACGGAAACCCCATAACAGCGACTTTCAAAGATGGCTCCCACTATAGTAGCTCCACAGTGGTAGCAGCCAGCATTGTCCTGCCTATAAAATACAGATTTCAGTTGAGGTAAGAGTGACTTCAGCTTTCCAATGACAGCCTTCATAATTGACAGCACCGCGCAGCTGTCTTGGTTGCAGGTTGGAAAACGTGTACGAAGGTCATCATCTGCAATTCTTCGTTTTCTGCCCGACGAGTAGCTACGGTAATGTGCCAGGACATGCCTCTCTTTGCGAACTTTGGCTTTCAATCACTTTGGCTTTCTCTGAACTTTCTTGGTAGAAATTTCATGGCCCAGTCCTGTACAGGAAGTACTGAACTTTCATCGAGAGCATTAATCACCTCTAGTCGGGCTTCATCCTCATTAACACGTCGGAGTAGGTGTGCTTTCCATGCCAAGATGTTTTGCATAGCCTGACCTTCGATGAAGGTCAACTCTTCTATGACGTCACGTGACACATTTCTATTTGACATCTTCTCAAGAGCGTCGTGTATATCTGCCAGAACTGACGCGAGCAACTCACAACGATCGCAGTTTTCTAGATGATCATGTGGACAGGTCATCTGATAATCCTTGTCCTTTGGATCACTCAGGGCATATGCTCTGCAATGGTCTGGAATGTTCGATTGCTTCGAAACGTGCACCTGCACAGACAATATCAGTTAGTCAAAAATAATCACCTTTTATTTGCCTAGGTCAACACATGAAATAAAAATATGCTTCACTAGCGAGGAAAAATGCAATTTTAAAGCCGTCTTTAAAAAAATTCGAACGTCCTAATCACGTGGCGGTATCATAACAACCTGAAGATTACATAGAGTGTCTCTTCATAAAAACATTTACCAACACGTTAGGTTAAGTTTCTGTACGTTCCAACAAAGAAAATATACATCCCCAAAGCTAGCCTCCCACTTTTTCGCTCAGGCAAACTGGCCATTTTTAAATGCTCCATATAACATTACTCTTTTAAATATGCGAGGTGCTCTCAGTTGCTCAGTGTCTGTCCTCGCACTGAGATAAAATGTACTTTTAGACATGGTCACGTGACTGATGACGTCATCACACCACGTTTGCGGGAAATATATACATCAGGGCAAGTGTCTTTTTTCAAGCTTGAACCTGTTTGTTGAGGTCTCTATACATGGACATTATTAAGTTTATTTCAATTTTACCTTAAAATCGACCTTCAAATGACGCTTTGCAGACTTCAGGCGTTCCTTTTGTTCCCTTGCCCAAGTCATTCCCATAAATTCGTCGCCCAAATCTGTTTACTACGTCAGCGAGATCGTCGAACGCCTGACCCCCTGCAGAACTTGTATAATCGAGAGCTTGAAGAGACTTTCGTTCAGAGGGGGAACAAACAGTCAGGATTCTCAAGAGTGTTCTTCGACTCAGTGGTGTGACGCCACATTCCTCTGAATAAGTCAAATACTGCTTGACAATATACTCTGGTATCATCAGGCGAAGAACATTTGGTACTGTGATGATCTCTTTAGTTGACAGTTTCATTTTTCCCCGAAAGGAAGGTCCTGGATTGCATGAGGGCTCGTTATAAAGTCCAGAAAGTGGTCCAGTTGAGTTTGAGATACTGCCATCCTCGTCTAGGAAGACTGCAGCGATGGTGCGACACCTCTACCCTCGACCAGGATATGCTTTCTTGCTTCACTGAGCCGATACCTCGTCAGGTTTGGAATCCATTTGTGAAGCGCTTTGTATGAGACCTTGTCCGCCATTATAGACAATATTTGCCGCCTGGTTTGCCAATTATTAGCATTCCTGTAGCATTCCGCCAGCGCCTGCATCAGCACTTCATCTTCGCGCTCCTCGTCATCATTAAAAGGGTGTTGTCCAAAAGATTTGGACGTAACCAGTGACTGCCAAAGTTGATCGCTCTGATTTGGTGCTACTTCGTCTAACACAGCATCAACCGCTTGTTTTGCTTTACGTGTGTGACGACGCTTTGTTCGTTCGCTAGCCTCTTCTTATTGAGTCTTCATAGGATGTCTTACAGGACTTATGTCCCTGCTTTCTAGAAAGGAATTTAGCTTTTCAAGTGGTTTCCATTCTGATGTGAGTGGATCATCTACGTCTGTTGGGGAGTAGACACTTGTTGCTGGAGTCTGGGGGTCGATGAGAAAGAGAGACGAAGGTGTGCCCTCTGCCACTGAACTTTCTGATGTACTCATTTTTGTTTCATCCTATAGTAAATTTATGGAATTTAACAGTTTAACTAAAAAGAAACCTTATTACGAAAGGACCTGAATGGTAAATAAATTAGCTATACATTTGACCCATTAACTGCAGTGTTAGAGGAAAAGCTTTGTTTAATTAGAGCTGGGCTAGTGTTTAAAAGGGCGGGGGTAGCGGGTGATAGTGTCACTATTTCTCAAACTAATTTTCATAGCCGTGCTACCCCTTTCCCGGGCTGCCTTTTCCCTCAACAGGGCATAGTGGCCTGAGGACTAAGTTCCATCACGGTCACAATAGCTTGCACGTCAAGTAATGTTCTCTTACCAAAGATAGCTCCCCCATTTGAAACGTGACTTGGCTATCCTCAAAAGCCTCTTGTGGAGTTATCGTCTCAGTTTTCATTTCGCTCAACATTTTCCTGCATTTAGGGCATACACCCAAGATCAAAATTATCAAAGGACAATTTTTATTATAATTGTGACTACCCAATTAAAACTAGCCTGTTTCTGACGTCTTGTCTGGTTAATTGGGAAGTAACACAAAAGAATTCGAAAGAAGATAATAGCGTACGGGAAAAATTATAACGGGGGAAATCTCCTCGCCCCAAGCCCCTCCCTTACTTCGTCTCTTGATCCCATCGCCTTTCACGCCAGCGCGCTGCATCCCAAAGGCCGGTAACAGCCTTTATTGAAACAGATCTAGACAAACCTACAAGCAAACAAACTATCGCCATCTTTAAGATTGTATGGTTAAAACCTCGTAGTTGCATTGTAATCACGTTTTATTGAAACAGAATAACTAATCACCGTATTGCAGCTCAAATTACCAAAAAATAGTACTCAGAAAAAACATTCAGTTTACTGACACTTTCGCCAAGAAAAACAACAATGTTGATACTTATATTTTAGGGAGTACAAACCTGAGTCACAGCAAGAAAAACTCCAGTTTCTTTTAGCACTGCATAGGAGCCCGCTATCCGCTTTTGGTCTTTAGCTGATATCCTCGCTATGATGAGACAGTATTAAAGGCACTTTGCACTTGTCCGGAACTCGGCGTGTCCATCCAATACCTAGCGACGCTCTATGTGCTGGACATCTGGTCAATATTTTGGGGAGAGAAGAAGATGGATGCTCTCGCCAGAATCAACTCAACTTCATTATCTATGCCGTGAAACGCGAACATCGCCTTATGGCCGGTTACATCCCGCTGACAGCTAAGTAATGGAATACATTCCTTTGCTCTGTTCTTGTCTCTTCTGTCGTGACCGCATTGGCCTCCCACAGTCGATAGAAATGAACAAGTATTTTCCATGGTTCTTAAAAGACTTAAACCAGTTTTCGTGTTTCACTTCATTAAGTTTATATTTAATTTTTGACGTAGAGGTCAAAAACTGACTGTTGTAAAATTAAATTAATTACCAGCCAGACTATACCTTTTTAAAAGTATTTAATCGTTACGATGCAAAGAGATGTGATGGTCGAAAAGTCTAAGAGGTTTATACACTGCTGTTTTCTGCTATTTCAATGAAACAATTCCTTTTTTCAGTCACCCGGAGCGGACAGAAGGATTTTGCTCTTTGTCACGCAACTGCGCTCCTTATCGGTCTATCTCCTCAATTTGTAACTCTGTTGTAACTAATTTAGAGGGTAGCAACATCAATCATATTCATTTAAAAAGCCAATAAACCTTGTCTCAATTTAATGTTTGTCTTGCAATAGCGTATTTAAAAATTACGTCAGATTTCGGCCAGTAAAAAGGTTATCGTTCCCTTTCAGTAATAACAAGTCGTTTATGTTAAGTATACGTATTGAAATGTCTCATATTTCAACCAAATTTTGTTCAACTTCGGAGAGTTCGTGTCAAGCGCAAACTGAATTACCCAGGCCAGTTTTTACATACGTTTTAGTAAAATGTTTAAAGACCTTATGGCTTGAGTTTCAGGGTAAACCAAGGTGTAGCACATGCCTAAAATTTTAATCGCGACTTTCGGCTAAATTATAAATTTCTTTCGGTTAAGAATAAAGCAGTTCTAAAATATTATTGTTCGCTGTTCAGATTACGGCTAAATGGAATATTTACCACCAAACTAGAAGTAAAACACTCTAAGAACAAACGCATCAGAAAATATTTTATCTCTCTTTCTTCCCTTTTGCATGCAAGCGAGTTTTGAGAACGACCCATTTCGTCTTAAATTTTGGCTGTTTTGAAGTCGCCGACAGCAAAAATAGATTTTATCGGTTTTCTCCAAATTAAAGCGGTCTTTCTGAAAACAAACTACATAATGTTTAGTTACCTTTCCATGGGCAAAATATCAGCGGAAAAAATTTTCGGCTCTGACCGCGAAATTTTAGTTTTGCTCGATTTTTATAGGCATTGGCTCTTAAATAGTTACCCAATAAAAAATTTTTCTTGTGAGACCAGCCTAACCAAACGAACTTTTATGTAGTCAGTCCTCTTCTAGCAGTTGCACCATTTTCATTAGGTAGATAATTCTGATCAGACTATTTCTACCAGTAACCCATTTTACATAGCAAAAACGTTTTTACTGGATGAGTCATTTTAACCAGTTGAACTATTTTTAGTCCATTCTATCTGGTTTGAACCTTTCCGCCAGCTGAGTCAGAGTCCCAGTTAAGCCGTTTGAATCGGTGGAGCCATTTTAACCACTAGGACCATTTAAATGAACCGGTTGGACCTACTTAGACCATTTCTATCAATTAAATCACTTTATTTGGTTGCAAAATTTTGACCAAACGGACCATTCCAAGTTCCATTCCATTCCAAGGCCTTTTTATCTGCTTAGACTCTTTTAAGCGGTTGAACCATGTTATGCAGATAGACCACTTAAGCCAGCTGAACCATAATTAACTCGTTTTCCCATGTCAGCCCTTTGAGTTACTTTAACCAGTCATACCATTTTCTTTGGTTAAAACATTAAAACCACTCTGACCATTTTTTCTAGTTTCACCATTTTTAGCAGTTGGATCAATCAAAAAATTCTAATCATTTTCCTTAGCAAGGACATTTAAACCAGTTCGAACATTTTATTTAGTTACACATTTTTAAGAAGTTGGAAGATCTCATTTAGTTACTTAACTTCAACCGATTAAATCGTTTCAAAAACTTGGACTATTTGTCTTTTTACACTGTTTTAAGAGGTGGGACCGTTTTACCTTACTTATGCATTTGACCGATGGGCCGATTTTTTCCTAGTTTTATAATTTTATGTTAAACAGCTGGACCACTTTATCTAGTAAGACCATCTTAAACAATTGGACTATCTTAGCCAGCTGTACCATATACAGTTTCACTACTTTATATTGTAAAATAATTTTTTTTTTGTCATGGTGGTAAATAACACTTTCAAAAGGCAATTCTAATTTTTTGGCTCGTGATGCGGTCTCTATGGATGTGGATCACAACATTTCAACTGCATACTTCTAGTCTTCTTCGGGCAATGAGGTCGATTGAGTGCGCATCAACTGTTGTGCTCAGCTTGGAAGTATACGGCTGTGATTGGTAGGATGAGGTTACCTCTGTGGCCCCTCTGATCGATGGTATTCAGGCTCCTGAGATTTCGATTCAACTTTCCCTGTTGATATTGCTAGGGTGAAGGAGGTCTTTCACCCTGCAAGCGTAGAAAAGGGGTTCACGATCTATTGATCTATGGGGGGAGGGAAGGGCGGTGTCCCGTATTGTAAGTGTACTCGGATATCCCTGTCATGCCTTTTGACTCTCTCCTGCGTAAGTCTCGCTGATGTACACTTTGTTGCACTCACAGCACCAGTTGATCAATAATTACCAATTGGTTACTTCTGACGAGTTGGAGCAGTTTGACCCATTGGGCCATTCTAAGCGGTTAAATGATTTTAACCAACTGGACCATGTTAACCAATTGGATCATTTTGAACTCGTGAATTGCGCGCATGCGCATGAGCGAGTTATAGAAACGATGTGGGGAATGGCACTCGCTCGCTCGCTCGATTCCTGTAAACTTTTTTTCGATTTTAGGCTTTTGAGTGCATTTGATAGTTTTTGGCGAGCAATAAACAAACGA